CTTCGCCGGCATCCAAGTAGGCATTTCCAGTTTGACTTTTCAGGCCCACACGAAACCAAGTTGTGGCATTTCCCTTCTGGAATATTCTAACAAAGTTGAACAGTTTCGATGCATGCTGCATGTGTGGGCTCTAAAGCATGTCAATTGGATAAGACATAAACGGACGACAAAGATTTTATCTTTGGACTGTAGACCTGGTACATTTTGTGAATTTGCCCGGACAGGGTGGGCAAAGGGACTTGTGAAGGGATTTAGTGAATTGTGGTCTTATCGCTCGAGCACACACTTTTGGCCGAAATGGAAGTGAGGGCTGCATTGAGTCGATTTCGTGTGAACTGATGAAGGACGGCTAGTCGACTTTCCACACACATTTCCCTCCAATTCCACACGGTCTCACTTCACAAAAGATCTTCCCGTCCCGACACAACCGGACTCGACTGGACTACACGTTCAAGCTCGTCTCAACTGGTCGCATCAGACACCTCCTCATCGGGACTCGAACTCGGCTTGTTCTAATGCAGCCCAGATGGGAATACAGTTTGGCTGTGCGAAATGGAGTGCAAAGGTTGTGGGACACTTTATGCAACTGGCACTGCCTCTTCACCTTCAACCAAATTGGGTAGACAACCGAACAAGCCAACTCTGTGCAACCGCACAAGACCCAGCTCATCAACAGAACTTGACTAATGATCTGTTCATTACACGCCTACTCATAAGGCATTGAGTAGTATGGCCTATTCTTGTGACAAGCAAGAAGATGCATTTTATCCTGAGGCCCTCTAGCCACTTCATTGTGGGCCACTCACTTAACTCGCCCTTAGCTTACGCTTCGAAAGTCGACATTCCTGAACCAGCGATAGGCTGAAATCACAACTCATTCGACATTTCATTATGAATGCCTACTCTACTCCTATTCCCCTCTGCCCAATTTGATGGCTACCTTATTTTTCTTCTCTTCATTCTACTTTCTCTTCCTCCTCTTCTTCTCTTCTTTCTACTTTCTTTTCTTCCTTTTCTTCTTCTATTCCTTCTACTTCCTTTACTACTTTTTCTATTTCTTCTTCTTCTCTGCCCAATTTGCTGGCTACCTTATTGTTCCTCTCTATTCTACTTTCTCTTCCTTCTCTTTTTCTTCTCTTCCTCCTACTCTCTCTTCTTACCCTTCTTCTTCTCTTCCTTCTACTTCCTTTACTAATTCTTCTATTTCTTCTTCTTCTCCTACACCTACTTTCTATTCTTCTTCTACTAATTCTTCTTCTCTTCCTTCTTTCTTTACTACTTTTACTAATTCTTCTCTTTTTTCACATAATTTTCTTCGTCTACTTTTCCTTCTTCTTTTCCTACACCATCTATTTTTTCTCTTCTCCCTCTTTTTCTCCTCTTCTCCATTCTACTTTATATTCTTCTTCTTCTACTTTGTCTTCTTTTCCTCCTACTTTCTCTTCTTCTCCTTCTTCTCTTCCTCTTTCTTCTTTATATTCTTCTTCTACTACTTCTTCTCTTCCTTCTTCCCTTACTACTTTTTCTATTTATTCTCTTTTTTCACATTCTTTTCTTTGCCTACTTTTCCTCTTCCTCCTCCTCCTTCTCCATTTTCTATTTCTTCACCTTCTTTGTCTTATTTTTTCACACATTCCCCGCCAGTTAGAATCCCACCAAAGTTGTCGATGTCGCTGATAACTACCTCATCTCACTGCATTCAACAACCTCTTATCTTCTTCCCTCAATTTCATCGTAGAACGCTCAACTTTAAGCCTTGAATGCCTTTCGGTTTTTGGTCAAGAAGCACACAAAAGTTCGATACATGTTTACTCGTTTTACACCCTTTGACGGTCACCTTGCTCACCTGCGCCAATTGCGAATCGTCACCAGGACTCATTTCGTCAGTGTGAGGCACTACTCTCAAGTAGTAGAATATAATTCTTATTCGCCCAGTCGGTGGTTTGCTTCTCGCGATCTGCGTCTATCTCATGCATCGCTGGGCCCAGAAGTAGAGTCTCAAGCCATTTCACCGTTCATGGACATCAAGCCGGTCTCTTCTGGTCCCGGCCGATGTCATTCGGTGTCATGCCACTATTCAGGATGCCAAATTGAAAGAAAGTCAATTTGTTCTCTCTCTCTCTCTCTCTCTCTCTCTCTTTCTCTCTGATCATTTGTATGCTCTTATACTGGACTCTTCGTATGTGTGCAAATGTGACACGTTTTTATGGGTTTGCGAAATAAGGGAAGAGTATATCGGTCGAGAGAAATTCGCCACCAAACATCTCCGAGCTGGGCTCATCAAAATCGGACTAAATTCCGATCGTCTGACAGAGTTCAGCGAATAGTTCGAGTTCCGTCGCGTCACAGACTGTTCCGGACCTGCTTCAGCCAAATAATGCGGT